GGAGGAGGGAAGGGGCTGTGGAAGAGGAGTGTGGGTAGCAGGGAGAGTCAGGAGCATATCCTGAGCAGGGGCAGTGTTCAGCTGCGTCTGTGACATGGAAATTTAGGGAGAGGAAACATAATCTAGAGAGGATTTCTGAGAATCTGATATTTTAAGACCCTTAGCCTGCCCCTTAAAAAATCCTGAAGATGGGGCTTCACTGGTGGCACAGTGGTTGAGAGTCCGCCTGCCGATGCAGGGGACATGGGTTCGTGCCCCAGTCTGGGAAGATCCCACATGCCGCGGAGCGGCTGGGCCCGTGGGCCATGGTCGCTGGGCCTGCGCGTCCGGAGCCTGTGCTCCGCAACGGGAGAGGCCACGACAGTGAGAGGCCCGCGTACTGCAAAAAAAAAAAAAAAAAAAAAAAAGCCCTAAATATGCACGTTAGATCGATTAGGCAATATGATGGTAGGGGTAATAGCACAGACTCTGGAGCCCAGTTTCCCGGGCTTAAATTTTAGCTTTGCTTCTTACTGGCTTTGTGACTCTGTTTCCCTGAGCCTTAATTTCATCATCTGTGAAATGAGGATAATAATAGTACCTACCGCATGAGGTTGTCCTGATGCTTGTACGAATTTTTACATGTAAAGATCTCAGAACAATGCCTGGCACATAGTAAGCCCTGAATAAGTATCACCATTTAAGGCATCCATGTCCATTTGTGTTTTCTCTGAATGTGACTCAGAAGACAGACTGGTCATTTGGAACAGCAGATCTTATTAGGATTACATATGTGTGTCTATGTAGAAATACATACATATATGTATATATACATATAAAGACAGGGTATCTATGCTAATGTCCTTCACATTCTGTTTAATTAATGCTTAATTAATGTTCTGTTCTGTATAAATAGTGTTTCAAATATGCTATAGTTTTAGATTCGGTTGTCATGCTCTTGGGAATCTGTTTAGAGCTTATACCATGTCTATTTAGGGTAAGTGCCTTTGATACAGGAGACATTTGTAAGCAGGGCTACTTGCTTTTAGAATGAAGCCATTGCTAGTCCTAGGCATCTGTTATTAGCAACTTGAGAGAGGTGTTTTGTCCTTTTTTCTTTTTGCTTGTTAGAGCCTGTGTCCCTCACACCTACAGGAGGGCCTGACACAGATGATATACTCAGAAATTGTGTTATTGAAAGAATGATTGAGTAAATTATTGATTAATAAATAAATGACTGGACCTCACTCAGCCAAAGAGGTGCATTTGTACAATTTTATAATGTCACCAATATCACAAGTCCATTGTTACAAAATAAGGTCACTTACTTTATTGATCAAATTATGGTTGCTTAAGCCTTACCCACTTCATTCTAGAAACTAAGACTTTCTATTTTTAAAAAAAAATTATTTATTTTATTTTTGGCTGAGTTGGGTTTTAGTTGTGGCACGCGGGCTCAGTAGCTGTGGCACGCGGGCTTAGTTGCCCCGAGGCATGTGTCATCTTAGTTCCCCGACAAGGGATCGAACCCACATCCCCTGCATTGGAAGGCGGATTCTTAACCACTGGACCACCAGGGAAGGCCCGGAAACTAAGACCTTCTGAGCATTGCCCCCTCACCCAGTTATTTCTGTGAATCTCCTAAGGGGTCTTCCCTGTGTCCACATGCCGGTCAGCAGTCTTAGTCCTCACCTGGCATCCTCCCCATTCTCTCTGCCCATCCTCCCACGCTCGGGGCCCTTGAAGACTGTCAGGGAAGTATTCCTGCTTGCCAACAGATGCCAACATCCATGCTGGGTGAGCTGACCCAGGATTTTCTCAAAGCTTCCAGTCCTCATGGTGGGGAGGGATAAATTGGGAGATTGGGATTGACATGTACACACTACTGTATATAAAATAGATAACTAATAAGAACCTGCTGTATAGCCCAGAGAACTCTACTCAATACTGTGTAATGACCTATGGGAAAAGAATCTAAAAAAGAGTGGATATATGTATACGTATAACTGATTCACTTTGCTGTACAGCAGAAACTAACACAACACTGTAAATCAACTATACTCCAATAAAAATTAATTTAAAAAAAGCGTCCGGTCGTCAGAGAACCAGGAGACTCCGGCTCCTGCCCAGCTCTTGCCAAACTTCGCCAGCTGGACTCTGGGGGACAGCTGTTCAGTACAGAGTCCCATGGGTCCTCTTAGGGGCAGTCTCATTGGTTCCTAACTCCCTGGGAGCGTAGATGCTCAAACGCAATCTGTAGGGCTGCAAAGATCACAGATGTTGTGGTGTCTGCCCCGCCCTCCCCCACTTGCCTCCTGGTCCACTCTCCTCTCTTCTCCTATCAGAGGGTGGAAACATCCTGGAGGTAAGGATGAGCAGAAGAAATCCTTTCCTCAGGGTATGATGCTCTAGCATGGGACCGTCAGCCGTCCTCAAATGCCCTCGTGTACAGCTAAGAGTAGCGCCTGTCTCCTGAGCTTGTATCAGCAGAAACAAAGCTGGTGGCAGGTGCTTTGCATAGATTAGCTCTTGTCATCCTCATAGCAGTGATTTTTTGCATCCTGTACTGATGAGGAAGGTGAGCCCCAGGGATGCTTGGTGTCTTGTCCCAAGTCACACTTAGGTGGCAGAACCAGGATTCAGACCCAGGGCTGTCAGACCGTAAAGAGCAATGTTTGTTTGTTTTTTGTTTTGTTTTTGTTTTCTCAGCCACACCACGCAGCTTGTGGGATCTTAGTTCCCCAACCAGGGATCGAACCCGTGCCCCCTGCAGTGGGAGCACGGAGTCCTAACTACTGGACTGCCAGGGAATTCCCGAGCACGATGTTATTTCACATAATTAGAAAGTCTGAGCTCAACAACAGGAAAAAAGCACACACTGTTCTACAGACTTCTTGGAGTCACATCTGTTGGTTGTCCATCTATCCTTGGGGCCCAGGAGTGGTAGAGCCCACCCAATCTGTTATCCCTGCCTCCCAGCTCTTTACCTTGAGGTCTAACATTGTGCCTGTCTTAGTGTGACTGGGCAGGCAGTCCCTTGGCCCACACTGTTCCCTAATTCAGTAGCACTTGGCCTGGCCTCACTCCCAATGTCCAGAGGGTCCCCTCCAGTGCCACCACATTTGCTAGTCCCTTGGTGTTAGCCACATCTTCCTCCTCTTTCTCAATGTGGCTGGTGCTGGCAACTAGGCACTTTCCCCATGCTTCCCAGTACAAGAGTTGCTCACATGCCCAGTTTCCACGATTGCCTCTCCTTTGGTTCAAGTTCCTGGGCTTGTCCTGGAGCCCCCATTCCCCACCCCTGGGCCTTGGTACTGGCCTGAGCTTCCAGCCCAGGGGCCTTCATGTCCCAGAGACAGCACTGATTCCTGGGCTTTCATTGCCTATACCAGGCCTCCCAATTCCTGCCCTCGCTGGGCTGGGCTGCGAGATAATTAATTTTAGCTGCAGTTGCCATTCCTCCCCAAGCAGCCCTGCTGAGGTGTGTCCTGCTCATCCAGGCTCTGATAAGCCACACTCAGGTAGACAAGCCCCACAGGCGTGTTGCTGCTACAGATGTATGCGTGGCAAGTTGAACAAAATTTTGCAGCCCCCCACAGTCGGATCCGGGGGTCGGGGGATGGATCCACCAAAGGAGCCAGGCAGCAGGCTGAGCTTGGCTGTCGGGACAGTTGGTCTCTACAAGTCAGCTAACACTGATGCTAAGCAGGCAGCCAGAGGTCAGCTTGGCTTTTGGTTAACAGATTTTATTTACCATTTACAAAAGAGGTTAACTGCATGCAAGTTGTAAGGGTGCTGCATTGCCTATGGAGGGCAAACGTGATCCAGCACAGCCCTGTCCTGAAACCTGTACCTGTTTGTTCAGTCTGGGCTCCTGGCTTGTCAGAGCCCAACCCTTAATACAGCTTGGGTTGTGGACTGCAGAAACCCTGGCAAGAAGCCTGCACACTGGCACGTCTGAGTAACACACCTTCAAACACCAACTCAAAAATCAAGAAAACCACATGTGCATGCAATCTGTTTAAATAAAATCACGGACATATTCTAGAGAGGTTATTAGTGAGCGGAGTGAAACACAAAGAATTGTTCCGTTTCTCTCTCTGGGCACAAGTTTAGATTTCCTCTTGGCAGATTTCCTTAAAGTCAGACGGAACTTCTTTGCATTAATAGAGGCCTGCATGTCGTCTCTGCTGGAGGCCGTGGTCACAAGCTGATGAGGTGTGCCCCAGCTACACAAACATGCTGAGGGGCCGGGAGCCCTCAAATGAGCTCCCTGCCGCCAAACTGCTATGTGGCCTCTGGCAATCAGTCCTCTAGGGAACTCATTTTCGTCATCTTGGCAAAACGGAGCCTTGGCTGGATGTGCTGCCCAGCTCTGGTCCTCTCTGACAATGGCTGTCCTGGGCTGCACAGGGGATGTAGTTGGGGGGTGGGGGGTGGGGGGTGGGGAGGGAGGAGACATGGAAGGGAAGCTATGCCATCACCCAGCTCGGGCTGTGGTGGATCAGTGGCAGTGCCCTCACCCAGCACAGCGCCTCCTGGGGGGTGCTTGGAAGAATAGCTGAGGGGCTCCCAATACTTTGTGGAAGAGCTGCACCCCAGAGAACTGGGCTGCAGAAAAATACTTTGCATTTGTGCTGCTTTGCACTTGGTTAAAGCCCCTGTCGCTACTACTTGTTTTGATCCTCGCCCCAGACCCATGAATGAGGCAGGCTCACTTTCTTCATTTTCCAGATGAGGAAGAGCAGAGCAGGGAGTTTAAACAGCTTTCCCAAGGTTATAGCATGTGAGTAGAAGAGCTGGATAAAAATGGAAGTCTCCCCAGACCTCAGCGCTGCACTGTCTCTTCAAGGACTTCTGGTGGGACAGCTCCTAAGGGGACTTGATGCTTTTCCGGATATCTCTAGGGCTGCCAGCGTGGCTCCAGCTATTTCTGGGACCAGGGCAGGCCCATGTGGGCATAGCAGGGGCCCACAGTCTCTGCCCAGACACCATCCTCCACCTTCCAATGGCTTTTAGGCACAGGTCCACAGTCAGCGTGAGTTTTTGGTGCATCTTTGCCCTCCCCTGCTGCATTTGGTCTCCTACAGCCTGCAAGGTTTGCTGACCCTCAACCTTAGTCAGCACTGAACCCCCTTTTTCTGCTCCTGTTCTTAGCTGAAGACTTCAGGATCCAGGTTCTAGTTGACCTTGTCACATGTGGCCAGGGCCCTGCTCCTGGACTGAGAAAGCTGGGGCCCCAGCAGGACCCAAGAGACACTGTGAGATCTGGGGTTGGTGAGTAGAAGACATAGATCTGGCTCCTCGTCAACTCCCAGCCTCTGCAGAACAGGCAGCATTGAACCTGTGCCGAGGATCTGGGTGACGGGAAAGTATTTGCCAATTGCATCCATAACCAGAGAAATAAATTCCTCGCCCAAGGCACTGTCCTGAGCCCTGGATATGGGGGTTACACCATTGCACAAAACAGGGGTGACCCTAAGGGGCAGAGCTGGGGAGTATGGCCCAAGCAGCTGGGCAATCGGGTTGGGAGAGAAGGACCACAGGACACGTTCTAGAAGTAAGCCTCATTATGCACATTCTTCTCAAACTTTTGCCTGAGCTCAGAGACCAGAGCTGACTGGACGGGTCTTCCCGCAGCCTTGTGTTTTGCCAAGGCCTTGGGTTTTGGTGATGGATGGGGTTGCTGAGGGGCGAGTGAGCCAGAGACTGTAGGCACCATCCAATGGGCTGGTCCCATGCTGGGTGCCATGCTGGGTGCCATGCTGGGTGGTGGAGGGGGAGCGGGGACTTTGGGGGGCGGTGCACTTCCCAGGCTGTTGTTGTTGCAGTTCTCATTGGGAGGATCCTCTCTGAGCACAAACTTGTCAGCGGCCTTGGTCCTTCTGAACTTGAGCCACTTGATGCCGGCGGTGCGGGGTGCAGGGCTGGGCCGCTTGCGGAGCACACGCCGCACCGGCAGGACCTTGTTGGGCTTCTTGTTGCGCCAGAAGGTGGCGGTGGAGATGAGGACGGTTATGGCCACAATAATGGCCATGATGCCGGCCAGCACACCCACGGCCTTCATGGGGTTGTCTTTGGTCTGCATCAGGAAGGCAGCCATGGGGTTTCGGGACAGCATCTGGAAGAAAGATGCATTCGGCTGCTCCTGCCTCGTCCCCGGAGGACAGAGCAGGGGCCGTAAGCCTGATGGTTTTTAAGCTTTCTGGGGTCAGGCATCCCTTGGAGAATCTGCTGAGCACTATGGGCTTCATTGCAGAAAAAATGCACACAGAGAAAACACAATGCATGCACCTCTGCAGAAAAATGCACACAGAGAGAGCATGACGCAAGCACCTCTTCTGGATGAAGAACTCCTGCATTAGTGCTACTGCTTTCCTTTGATTGGGGGGAGTGTGTGTCACGTTTGCCCAAGTGCATTAGGAACCTCTTAAGTGATGACTTCCTGCCAGACCCTGAACTGAGAACTACACATAATGATTTTACTTCTGCCTTTCAACACCCATGTGAAGGAGGCATCATTAGCCCCATTTTACAGAAAGGGAGTGGAGGCTTAGCAAAGTCCAAAGGCACACCATCACAAAGTGTTGAAACTAGGATTTCGAGCTGACTTCAAAGCCTGTGTGTTTGATGGCACAGGTGGTCTTCAAGAGAATTGGGTGGGTGTCTTTGGAGGAAGGTGGTCTTTCTCCCTCTGGCCATGTTGCAGCGAGGTCTGAGCTGGCCCTCTGGCCCTCCCCCCGACTCCCCCGCAGATCAGGGCTCCGTACCCACCTCAGTGTCTATGATGTCAATCTTGAGTAAGGCCGTGGTGCTGAAGGATGGGGAGCCGCGGTCCTTGGCCTGCACCTCTAGTGACCACGTGTGGTCCCCGCTGGGTGTGATGTTGTGCAGGGCATCCAGGGAGCGGATGGAGTTCTTGAGCCGGATCTCCCCCGTGTGTGTATCGATGTCGAACACGTTGGCTGGCTCTGCGTGGGTGATGGAATAGTCCACCAGGTTGTTGGGCTCCTCTGCGTCCTGGTCTGTGGCCTGTGCACAGAGAGGGACAGGCAGAGCTGGGCTTCGAGGGCGATACTTGTGTACCCTGGCTCAACCAACACGTCATATAGAGCTGGCTGGGCTGAAGGGAAATGGTCCTAATCCTATTTGAGTGAATGGAGCTGGGAGAGGAATTGAATGAGCCAGGGTGGGGCTGCGCTTGGCTCTCTCTGTGTGTTGTAGCAGTTCATTCTCAGAACAAGTCTAGGCAGTCCAGTATTGTCAAAAAACAAAAGCCTGGAGGCGGAGTGACTTGTCTAAGGATGGAGAGGTAGAAGGAGGGGAGCTGGGATCCAGAGTCAAGTCTGTTGGGTTCCAGGGTTCATGCTTTTTCTGTATCGGGAAGGCAGTGCAGCAGGGAAAGCGGTGCTGCAAAGGCAGGCAGACCAGCTGTGTGAACTCAGGCAAACCAAACATGCAACCTGCCTGAGCCTTAATTTTTTTTATGTGTAAAGTGGCAAAAATATCTTCTTTCTCAGAGGTTACTTCTGGGTTGAGGTGGGGATGACGGTATATAAAGTACCTTAAAAACCCTTGCTTATTTCAGGAATCCAGTATATTTTAAAAGAAATTCTTATGCTACAGTGCCGCTTGCAGTTGCAGGGACAAGACTTTTACGGGAGCTCAGCTACCTTCGAAGCCCACCTCAATTTTCACTGGGGTCCCCAGCACCATTGTCTTCTCCTGGACGCGCTTTCCAAACTGGGGGTAGTGGTCATTGACATCCAGCAGCGTGACGAACACCTCGGCTAGGCTGTACCTGCCCTCCATGTCCTCTGCCTTCACGTAGAAGTTGTACCTGGCAGTGTCCTCGGCGTCCAGGCTGGCCCAGGGCTGGGTGTAGATGATCCCAGAGGATGGGTGGATCAGGAAGCTGTTGGGCACAGACAGCGCAGGCAAGGGTGTGCACAAGCACACTCACGTACACGCGTGTACACTCACAGAGGTGCACACATGCCTGCGGTAAGGAGCCGCCTACAGGAAGGGGCGGTAATGCACCAGGCAGCTTCCCCAAGGCATCCCGAAGGACCACCCACCTACTTAGCAGTCTTACCAATGTAGAACTTAACCCAAGTCACAGCCCTTCCCTCTCCTCCCGCGACCTGCCCCTTCCTAGCCCAGCACTGCTTGCCTGGCCCCCAAGGCCACGAGCCCCAGCTCCAGGCCATAATGATGTCCCTTCTTCTCTCAGACTCACCTCACCTGGTGGGTCCCCACACCTTGACCCCAGGCTCTCTACAGCTCCCCTCCATTCCTTGTGCCCAGGCTTGCCTCCCCGACCCAGGTCCTGCTCTTCCCAGGCTCCTCCTGCCTTTAGCACAGATCCTCCTCCACCCTCAGCCTCCCAAATCCCTTGCCTGAGGTCCTGTCCGGGATTCTGGATCTACTCACAGGTCTGCCCCGGATCCATAGATGGAGTATTTGACTTCACCCCAGGGACCTGTGTCTGGATCGACGGCCTGGAAGAGAGAAAGCTCCCAGTGGCCCCTGCCCCTTTGTCAGGGCATGTTGGCAGCTCTTGCTTTCAATGGCAAAACAAGGATTTGGGGGGTTTGCCCAGCTGGGGAGAAACTGATCTGGAGCCCTGCTCTGGAGCCCTAGTTTCGCCCCAGGAGATCTCAAGTATTGGAGGAACCAGATCTGGAAGGCCTCGTATTTCTCATTATATGTCCTCATTATAGTCCTGTGAGGTGCTGTATGGAAGAAACTGAGGCTCAGAGAGGGCAGGTAGCTTGTCTAAGAACACAGCCAGTGAGTGTGGGCTTTGCGATTCAAACTGGAGCCCCAGTTTGTCTGACTTCACAAGGTCCCCTTCACCCCCAGTCCCTGGGTCAGCCCCAACCCACTGTGACAGCCAACACGTTGGAGCCCCCTGGGGCATTCTCGGGGATCCTGGCAATGTAGTAGTGGGAGGTGAACTTGGGGACATTGTCATTGGTGTCCAGGAGCTGGATCACGATGTCCGCTGTGGAGCTGAACTTCTCTGGGGTGTTCACTTCGATGGCCAGGAGCTGGGGAAGGAAGGAAAAGGAGGACTTGTCTGGGTGGCAGTCGCTCTGCAGAGAGCCTGCCACGTCCCGTCTCAGTACCTTCCCTGCCTTGTCTCCCGTTTTCTCAGCAGCCAGCCAGCTATGCCTGCCCCCACCTGCAGGGGGTACCTCTAAGGCACACATCATTTCCCTCCCCACTGACTGCAATGCCCGTTTCCTTATGGTTGCCATTTGCATTGGGACCAATTTCTTTTGCTCCACTGATTTGCATATTCCTTTGTTTTAAACTTCCATTAAAAAAACTATTTTGCTTCATAATATACTTTAATATCTGTTAGAGCAAGTTCCTGCCTCATATTCTTTTTACCTGAATTTCCTGACTATTCAGGTTTATTTCTCCAGATAAAAACCAGTATAATTGTGTCAAGCCCCCTCCCTCCTCCCCTAAGGAAATTCTGGGTAAGACTTAATTGAGGTGGTGTGATTCTTTATTAATTGACGAGAATTTGCATTTTTAAATAGGTGTGTCTTTATATTTCTTGCCTTCTTTATGTCCTTTTGTTAAATGTGTGCATTTTTGTGTCATTTAGATGCTGCATATTTCTTGTTATGGTAATTCCTAGAAATTTTATCTATTAGTTGTTACTGTAAAAGTGCTCTCTTATTCCATTATTCTCATTGCCGTTTTTTGTACGTAGGAAAACTATTAGGTTTTGTGTATCAACTTTATAATCAATCATGTTAGCAACTTTGCTGTGTCTAACAGTTTTTCGATCATTTCTTTTAGATTTTTCTAAGCAAACAATCACATCGTCTAAAATAATGCTGATAATAATAATTTTTATCTCTTCCTTTCTAATGTTTGTACCTTTTGTTTCCTTTTCTTACCCAGGAATAATGTTATTCTAGGAATAGTGTTAAAGAATAGTGGTGAGAGTAGTTATCCACGCTTTGTTCCTGACCTCATAGGATGCTTTTAGAATTTCACTTTTATCGACGGACTGATTGAAGTATAGTTGCTTTACAATGTTGTGTAGAATTTCACTTTTAAACATGATGCTAGCTATCGGTGTCTATGCATTTATAATCATAAATAATTAAAACAATTTAAGAAATACCAACAAAGTATTTTTCCTTTTTATTAATATAAATTATATATTATGTATAATATGCATTATTCATTTATGTTTACCATTTTAAATAATTACAAGTACAAAGGAGTATATTTTTCATCTCCTGCTAAAGTTTTTAACAGAATAGATGACATATGTCAAATGTGTATGAGAAAACATCTATCCTGAGGATCAAATAGTTTTCTTCTCTCAATCTATTCACATGGCACATTGTATTGGTAGTTTTTCTTTGGACACCTCTCCATGCATTCCTGGGGACAGTCGTAGTTTAGAAGCGGGAGCTCAGTGAGGCTGTGTGCAGTATGAGAAGGTTCTTGTGTCATGATTCTTCTTCTCCCTTTTCCACCTACTCCTCAAATCAGCAGGAGGGGCAGAGAAACTGAGAGGAAAGGAACAGGGCCAGGAGGGGCAGAGTGTGACAAGGGACCCCTTAGGAATGAATCTAGGTGCTGCTGTGACCCCCCATTCAGGGTAGTGCAAAGCATCACCTACCTTGAAGGTTAACACTTTGAACTTTTCAAAGTCAATGGTGGCTGAGTTCTCTACAATGATCGTCACTTGGGCTTCATTCAGGACCGTCTGGGGGACCACTCGGAAGATGCCCCCGGGTCCCACCAGCCGCAGGTTGAATTTGGCATTGGCTCCCTGGACAACAGTTTGGAGAAAGGAAACAGGGAAGATGGATGAGAACAGAAACTCATTAGATAGTCGCGCTGTGCAAGGAGCCTTCACGTGCCCTTGACCCCGGGAGGTGAGTATTATTACTTCTTTCTATAGGGGAGGTGATGAAGAATCAGAAAGGTTGAGCAGACTATGAAGACTCAGCAAGGAAACAAGCACAGAAAGCCTAGCCCTGAGCCGGGCACAGGAGGCGACAGGCCACATCTGCAAAGTCTGGAGGGTCAGACGCAGAGGTGCTTTCATTTGACTGGCTTTTTCCTCTTAATTGATTGTGAATATATTTAGGCCAAGCAGCTAGTCTTTGATTATCTACCCTCCCTCCTCTCTCTCTTGGTTACCCACTCTTGCGTAATTCATTTTGTGACTCTCCAGGCCCCTGTGAACATCAGCAGGAAAGGCTCATGCAGGCTCAGCTTTGGGACTTGGTCCCATGTGGTTTGCAGGAAGACAGAGTCGAGGGCAGGACCACATACCTGGTCTGAGTCACTGACAGTGATCTTGAGGCCCCGCAGGATCTCCCCCTGGGGCGGGTGCTCATACATGGACAGCTCAAATCTGTTCTGGGGTCCACTCTCTCCATAGAATGTCGGTGGATGGTTGTTGAGGTCCACGATCCGGATGGTGACAGGGGCCATGGCCTGGGCAGCTGGGGTCCCTGCAGAGCTGACCTCAGTCACCTGGGGTGGGGACAGGTGGCTATGGCTGTGTGGCAGGCTGATTCCAAGATGGCCCCAATGATCCCTGCCTCCTGGTATTCATGCCCTTATGTAATCTCCTCTTTTTCAGTGTGGCCTGGCCTAGTGACCTGCTTCAAACTGATAGGATATGGCAGAGGTGATGAGATATCGCTTAGTGATTAGGTCACTAATTTGTGATTAGATTAATCTAATCACTGATAAGTGATTAGATTAGGTCATAACTTCTATCTTCTAGATAGATAGAAGATATCTATCTATATCTATCTTTTGCTGGCTTGGATGAAGCAAACAGCTGTGTTGAAGAGGCCTGTGTTCCTAGGAACTAATGGTGATGTCTAGCCAACAGCCAGCAAGGAACAGAGGTTCTTAGTCTGACAGCCCATGAGGTACTAAATCCTGCCAATAACCATGTGAGCTTGGACGCTAACCCTCCTCCAATTGGGCCTTCAGATGAGAACCCAGTCCTGGCTGAAAATTTGTTGGCGGCTACGTGAGAGACCTTGAAACTGAGGACCCAGCTAAGCTGACTCTGTACTCCTGACTCACAAACTGCAAGATATAAATGTGTGTTGTCTTAAGACACTAAATTTGTGGTGATATGTTACAACAGTCATAGGAAACTAGTATAGGGCTATTACTTGTCCCGTTTTACAGATGAGGCAAGAGGAGGGAGGCAGTCACCTGGGGTCACACAGCTGGACTAGGAAGAAGGTAGATGTATCTGATTCCTTAGGCAGTGCTCTCTCCACCTCACCGCACTGCCCTCTCCTTGCAGCCAGATGTGGGTTCAAACCCTAGCTTTACCATGTTCTGCACTTGTGTCCACTTGTCCAGGGGGAGGCTGCAGGGAGGGGAGGTGTGGCGATGCAGCAGTGGATGACAAATACAGGCTGCAAAGCCAGGGCCAAGAGTCCACAAGCACCTCAGGAACGGGTGGCAAATACCATGTGAGGCCCTGCAAGGGCTTCCTTCCGCTCTCCTATAAGCATGTCTGGTCTTACCTATCCTCAAATGACCCTCCCTGGCCTCTACTCCATCACACACTATAGCTGCTTCCTAACTCTTCTTTGGTAGAAGCTTGTGCCCTCTGCCCCCTTTCCTCCCATTCAATGCTCAGCCCGTCCCCAACTCAGATACTTCACACTGACTTCCATGCTGCAGGTGGCACTGCCCGCTCCCCCTCCCCCTTCTGAGTGTGCTGTCCCCTTGGCTAAAGTGGCTCCACTTTGCAGGTTGGACTTGACCCCTGGTCTCTCCTTCCCTGGCACCTCCCTCTTCCCCACTCTTATCCTGGGGTGCTCCCGCAGTGGCCTTCTGAGCTGGTGGCTCCTCTCTCCCCCCAGCCCTCCTCTGGGTGGCCTCATGCCCTCCCCTCCTTTCACAGCTACCTGTATGTTGATGCTGTCTGCCCTGAAGTCCAAACCTGTTACCCTCAAGTTTGGATGTTTCAACTTGAATGTCCCCGAGGCACCAGAATGCCTCATGCCCATCCTACTCAACTTGCCTTCTCACCTGTGTTTGTGATGGCATGGTACCACCCTAGATGCATCCCTCCCTCTCCTTTCCCCCACCCCTCACGGCCCCATTCTGTGGAATCTGTCTCATTCACAGTTTGCCGTTTGTCCATTTTCACCGTCCCGCCTCCGCTCATCCCCACGGCCCCTCGGCATCTGTCACCTGGGCTGATGGCTTTGCTTCCCTACCTCTCATCCACTTCCCTCCAAACCCAAGCTGGGACCAGTGCTCTCAAACGTCAGGCTGAGACTGGTGCCAGAATCACCTGGGAGCTCAAAACACGCAGAATCCTGGGTTTCCCCCAGGCGTACTAAATACCCATCCTCAGGAGTGTGTCCTGGAAATCTTTTTTTTCCCAAGCTCTCTGATTTTGGGAATCCCACTGGTCTAGCGAGCAGTCAGAGTGAGCTTTGAACAAGACTCTAATTCTGCTCAAACCTTTCCATGGCTCTTCCCTGCTCTTGGGCAGGACTAGGTACATAGTTTGCAGGCCCAGTGAAAAATGAAAATAGGGGGCCCCTTGAGAATTTCAAGACAGCAAGAGCAGAGCATTAAGCCCAGCATGGGACCCTTCTAACTGTGGTTCCTGTGTCATCTCACAGGTTGCATGGCCGCAAAGCTGGCCCTGTTGCAGGGAAAACCCATGCCTCGTATTCAAGGCCTTTGCTCCTCCGGCACCACCTGGGCTCCAACCGTTTCTCCTTTACGTGCTGCCTGTGGACTCTTGGCTCCGGTCCCACCTGACCCCTCATTGCGCCCCTGCTACATCATGTTCTCTCGCCTCCAGCCTCGGCTCACTGGGCTTTCCTAGCTTTGCAAGGCCTCCGCCTGCCCCACCCTAAACAGTGCTCCCCAACACCAGTCTCCACTTGCTGGGTCCTACCCATGTTCATGGCATCGCTGCTTCCATCCTTCCTTCTCCTGCCTCATCACAGCTCCCCTCGCCAGGTACTACCTCTTGTAGGTGCTCCTTGAAGCAACATCTAGATCCTTCCTCCCTAGATCCTGCGAGCCCTGGGGGGTAAGGGGGCAGCCCAGGTCTCATCACCTTTGGAACCTTCCAGGGCTGAAGGGTGGGGAACGCCAAGCTCGTGGGAGGGTACCTGTACATGCAGCTCATACACCTCTCTCCGGAGCTGGGCAGGGCTCTGGGTGATGGAGATTGCTCCAGACGTCTCATTAATTTCAAAGGCTCCATCACTGCCTGTCACAGAAGACAGATGTGCCCTGCAGTTCTGAACAAGGCCACATGGTGGCGCAGGGTGCCATACGTTCCTCAGACGCTATCTCATTCAAGTCTCCCCTATTATCATCTGTGTCTTGCCAATGAGGAAACTGAGTCTCAGAGGGGCTAAGTAACTTATCTAAGGTTACACAGTGAGTGCAGAACTGGGACTCAAGCTCACTACTTTCTGGCTCCCAGGTGCTCTAGTATTTTGCTTCGTGTGTGTGTGTGTGTGTGTGTGTGTGTGTGTGTGGTAGAAAGAGAAAGGAGAAATAAAGAGGTATAGAGGAAGGGAGATGGGAGGTGGAGAGAAGGAGAGAAAATAATGGAGGGAAGAAAGGAAAAGACTGGAAGAGGAGGAGTAGAGGGAGATGCAAGAAGACAGGAGAGGAGATGGTGTGGTGTGGGCACTCGGTAGGTGTTTGAAGGATTGCAGCGGTGGAGGGGAGGGAAGGCAGTCAGAGGTCTGCGTGCCTGGGGAGAGATGCCTGTGTGTGATAGTGGACACATCTGCACGTGTGTGAGCTGCTGGAAGGGGCGTGTGTACCAGGCATGTTCCAGGGACAGGGTCAGAGGAGGTGATGGTGTCTGAGTGAGAGTACAGAGATGTGTGCATGTCTGGGACCAGGTACGAGGTGTGGTGGTCCCCTGGAGGGGACCAGCTACTGAGGGCTCAAGAGCCCTCCCCAGGGCTGGCTTCTCCTGCTCAGTTGCTGCCCAGCCCAGCTGTGGAAAGAGCCAGCAGACTTAGGTTCAAACCCAATGGGAACTTGGGATAATTTAGCTTCTCTGAGCCTCAGTTTTCTCACCCATGTACAGGGCTAGTACTAGGCACACGCAAAATCATCATTGCATTTAATTCACTGAATTCAACTCTATGCTCTAGGCCAAAACATTTAAAAGAATGAGAAAAACACATGGCAATTTAAAGAGTATAAGAAATCTTGCCACCCCTTCCCATTAACGAGGTATGCCCAGGAGCCTGTGGGAACATGAATTGGCACCACCTGTGCCGCTTTCGGTATCCAGCCCCCAGCCCCTCCCTGCCCAATGCGTCTCTCCCTGTTGCTGGACATAATGAGAAGCAGGGACCAAAGCAGACGCCCAAGGAGACGTGCCGCCTCCTGCAGGGACCCAGCCACTCTTCTCCACGCATCTTGTGCTTCTGGCCTATAGATGAGGAAACTGGGATCCGGAGAGGTTGGATCTCACTCTGGTTACCCAACGAGTTGTAGCTGCAGCCCAGCAGTGAGCCCCAGACTCACCGTTCACGAGGCTGTAGAGAACGCGGTTGGGTTTGCCGCGATCTCCATCCATGGCGACGACGGTCAGGACCTCTGAGCCCTTGGGGGGAACAAGGATTTTATCCTGTGGCCCTGGGAGGCCGTTCGAAGGCTTTGGGAAGTTGCCCCACCTGACAAGCCCTGCTCGATCCTGGCCTGCCACCCCCTCCTGGTCTCCCTACTCAGGCCCGTCTCCCCGGAGGCCTATCCATCCTCATGGCAGCTTCCTGACTGTCCTCTCCCCCAGCCCTGGCACCTCCTTCCCGCTTAGCTCCTCAGCAGGACCGTCTGGGCCTCGCCCTGCTCTGACCTGCAGCCCCCATGGGAGCAGCCCGGCCTTTCTCTCTCCCTCACTCTGTGCCCTTCTGCACCACTCAGCTGCCAGCATCTGAAAAGGTGATGTCTCAGCTTGGGCCCAGCACACGAGTAGTGCTCAGTAAGTGTTTTCATTGTTGTATAAAGTTGGGAATTATCAGAATCCGGGGAAGTGAAAATTGAGAATGCAATTCCGTTCCACAGAGAGTTCTTGAGCCGTGGCCATGGGAGGTGTGGCTGGGGGGGCACATAAACACATGGGCTCACCCCGAGGATGGGCGTGCCCGTGGAGGGGCGTGCTGGGCGTAGGAGCAGACATCAACCAAAGATGTCGGCGAAAGCAGTGCCTGGGCTGAGCCGAGAAGGGCAGGAGGCGTTAGGCCCATGGGCACGTGTCCATCAGAAGGAAAAGGGTGCAGTGGTGAGAGGGCTGGGCTGAGTAGAGGATGGTGGGGCCTCCGGGGTGGAGGGGAGGCCGGCCCCTAGATGCCAAGCCCAGGACTGGAACCTGAGAGGTCAAAACACAAAACACAGGGGTGGCGGGGGAGGGGGCGGGAAGGAGGGACGGAGACTGTGCTGAAGGGGAAGGAAGCTGAGGCCAGCCTTCCATCTGGGCCCACGTGTGATGTCCGACAAGGGTTGTGGTGATTCGGCAGCAAACTGTGGGAGAACTACCGGTTTGAGGGGCTCCAGGCTATACAGGCTTGGAGGGAGGGAAGCGAAAGGCACCTCACCTCCTGTACGAGGTGGAGGAAAGGGCCACTTAAACCAAATCATCAGCTCTCTTCCCAGCCTCTCTTCTCAGCCCTTTTGAAGGGCTGACATGTGCAGCCGGGCTGGCGTAAGCTTGAGTGAGTGAAGAGACGCCTGGCATAGCCTGGGCACCCGGTACGTGCTCCACACACAAGCCACCGCTTCTTCCCGGGCCTACCTCCCCCCGCAAAACGACCTGTTTGTGGCCTGAGTGAGGGGTCCAGAGCCGGCCTCCACATGAGCTGAGGCTCGCGAGTCCGGGTCGAGCCCAGCCATCCAGCAGGGGGATCCTCGGGCAGCGCGAAGGACAGGGCAGGAGGTGTCCGGAGGTGACACTGGGCTGAGGGGCGCAGCCACCCACCGGAAGGGTGTCCTCGTACACATAGCCATAGTAGGGCGTGCCCACGAAGACAGGGGCCATGTCCTGCACGTCCTCCACATTGACTGTGACCGTGGTGGTGGCCGAGAGCACCACGCTGGCCCCTCGCAGCCTCCCTCCGCCATCCTGGGGAAGGGTCGGAGAGGGAAGAGAGGTTGGGCTCTGGAGTTGAGCAGACTCCCACGGAATCCGGCTCCTGTCACTTACTGGCTGCCCTCCCTGATTTCCGTTTGCTTCCGTGTCACCTGGAGATAATTTTGCCCTCATACGGGTGTTAGGAAAATTAAATGAGATGATGCAAGAAGGTCTTCAATCAGTGCCTGCTATGCAGTAGGTGCTCATAGGCATTCCTTTGGAAAGAGGGTTAGGTTTCTCTCCAGGGAAATCATGTCTGATCAGTAGCACAGGAGGAGGGGGTCGGAGCCAAATCTCCTCTCCCAGCCCGGAGCCAAGCCTCAAACACTCCTGAGGACCTGCTAAGAGCATGATGTGGACGCGCGCCTGAGCGTGTATAATGGAGCTGTGCGCCCACCAAGCCAGCCCTCGTGGAGTGGCTGGCAGGCAGGCCCGGCACGAGCCTCCTGGTGCAGACTGAGGGGGATGCCCTGTAGCCAATATGTGACCAGCAGGGGCCTTCCTGGAAAAGAAAATGGGGGTCTTAGAGGGACGGCTGGGGCTTCCTGACCTCAGGAAAGAGCAGCCGCTTTGGCCGAGCACCTGCTGAGTTGCAGATCCCATGTCACACGCTTTAGAAGTATGAGGAATTTAGTTAAGTCTCGGGGTGGGCAGATGAGAAAACTGAGGCTCAGAGAGGGTAACCGGTCACACAGAGAGGAAGAGGAGGGTGAGCAAGCCCGGGCAGAGAAACAGAGGTGCCCAGAGGCCAGGTTGTGTGGATGTGAGGGCCATGAGTCTCCAGGCACGGCCACCTGCGCCTACAGAGGAGAGCCAGGCCTGTCAGTCCTGAGGGGGCGTACGCCCTCTCCCAGGAGGGAATATGCCCTCTCTGGCTCAGAAACACCAGCCTCCCTGGGGAATATGTCCATGTCTGGGCAGGCTCCACGCATTAGAGATTCCGAGCAGCTGCACCCCCATCCCCTCCCCCATCGTACCTTCTGCCCCGAACTGCCCCCCAGTTGTAGAACCTAGCTGCTCCAATCCAAGGGCAGCTTCCCCTGACGGAGGCTGAGGAGCGTCCAGGTGCTGCCATTCCTCCCTCTCTATTACCTTGGCAACCACAGCAATGAAGTGGGCCGGGGCCTTCTCGTAGTCCAGGGTGGCCCCGGCCTGGAGGTGCAGTATACCACTGTGGCGGTCCACAGAAAACTGGGTGGAGTGTGGATTCTGTAAAGAGCGAGGGGCGGGCTGGGCCTTTGGGAGGGACCCAGGTCCCTCGCCTGCTCTGCTTCCTGAAAGGGGGTCTTCACCGTCCTCCCTTCATCACACGAACTCTGGTCTCAGGGCTGAGGTGCACACTTCAGGGCACTCAGTCTTCCCGGCCCCCAGGGCCCCGCTTCCTAGGGCTCTGGGCTTCCCCTCCCTCTCCCTCAGTCCAGCAAAGACGTTCCCTTCCAGCAGGGCCTCAGCTCTTTTCTCAGCTCAGCTAGAAAAAAACGGGGCCCAGCTCGGGGCTAAGCTCTGGCCTGGAGTTTCCAGCAGGCAGAAATGTCAGCAGAGTGCTCTAACCTAGAGGAGGTGAGGGCTGAAAGCCATAGTGACAGAGAGAGCCTTCGGGATCTTTCAACCCCTCCATTAAGTGACTGTGGGTCAGTCAGCAGCATCTGGGTAGGGGGTTGGGGCGGTCAGATGGGGACAGGAGACAATCCTCAATCTGAAGAGGGGTGACTGTGTGTCAGGAGCTATTGTTGGAGCTTGACACGTATTTAATCTTCACAACTAACCAATGAGGATGCGCCTTCAACTTGCCCATTTTACGCATGAGGAAACTGAGCTGGGAAAGTCATACAATGATGGAAGCCCCATGCGTGGGAAGTGGTGGAGTCTTTTCAGAACCCGTGGAGCCCAGGGGCTTTCTCCAGAAGCTGTGTCTCTAGCCACTGAGCTATACTGCCTTGAAAATGGTGAGAGCAAGTGATTAACTGTGGAGAGCAGAGAAGATGCTGCAGAAACAGCAGCCATGGAAAGGAGGGCAGTGGGTTCCGGAGGAGTCCAGGGAAAGGCAGGAGGTGTGGGGAGGGGTCTCCGCCTTCGACAGGGTGGGATGGATGGACAAGGGTAGGGTGGAGGTGTCACAGCTCTGCTCATTCTGAGAGTTGCCCCTTCTGCCTTTTTTCCTATTGACACTTCTAGGCTCAGACAAGTTTCTTTTACTTTGTGTGTGTGCAAAGTGCCCAGGCCATCTTCTGGGGGAGGGGTTGGTGGGGGGAGAGCTGAGGGTCCTGAGATCTGGGGAGAGGGAGGCAGGTCAACTCAGAGGGAGCCAGGATGGGCCAGTCAGGGGAAGATGGCTTCCTCTCAGGCCAGTCTTAGGTCCCCACCTATTCATCCCACGCCTGCATTTACTGAGACCTCTTTGGGTGGGATGCACCATCTCTGACAATCTTTGGGAATAGTTGAGGCACTGACCTAAGGGCTTTAGTGATGGAGATGGGGGCTGTCCAGGTGTCCCTGCTAGCCCAGGCCTCTGGTTATTTCCTGTGTGTCCCACCTTACCTTCAGGAAGTAGGTGACACTCCCTCCAGAACCTGTGTCCCTGTCCACTGCACGGACCTTGGCGATACTGCTCCCGGCAGGTGTGTCCTGAGGGGTCACAGCCACAGAAGGTCAGTCCCAGGGGTAGTGACAGATGCTTGGGGAACTGGGGTCTGGGGGCACGGAAAGGTGGAGTCAGGGAAGTGAGGGGTGAAAAAGAGGTGAAAGGTGGTGATTGACCTAGGGAGCATCCAATAGGAGGAGGGGCCTTGATGGAGGAGACACACTGGAGTCAGAGCGGGGTCAGGAAAGGGCAGAGGAAAGGAGGAACAAACAGACATCCTCCCCTTGAGAATGGCTCCAAATAGACAAAGGCTTTAAATATGAAGTGGCTGTAAACAGTTAACAAATACAGACATATTCCGTATCACCAGGGATCACACACGTGCAGTTTAGAGCCAGCGCAAATATCTTTCTCCTACTGAATTAGCAGACATTTAAAACTCCCAGAATGGCCAGTGTCGGCCAGGAACCAAGAGACAAACCCTTTCTCACATCCTAGGGGAAAGGCAAACAGGTGTCATTCTGGAAAATCAATCTGGCAACACCTCACAGGTGCCCAGGCTTTGACCCAGCAATTTCAAATCATTCCAGTTAGAGAAAGGAACTTTTATGCTCAGAGTTTGTTGTTTGATGTTTCTTATGACGGCAAAACTTAAAGTATCTTTAATATCCAAACATAAAGGAACAGTTCAGTAAATGCTGGAATATGCACTCAAGGAAAGCTATTAAAATCTTAGTTACCGCAACTTTACAATTACTGAGGAAAATTCTTATGTTATAAATTCAGTGAAAAGTAGAATACAGAAAACATATGTTTAGTATAGTCACAACTATGTAAAATAAAGAGAAAGCAAGAACCTATGATCATGAAAATGATGAGGAGGAAATACCCCCAAATTTAACAATGTTGTCTCAAGCTGGAGGGATTAAGGGTGGTTTCTGAAACTCTTTTTTCCCTACTTTTCTGTACAATTCACATTTTTACAATAAGAGTACATTATAGGGAATTCCCTGATGGTCCAGTGGTTAGGACTTGGCATTTTCACTGCAGGGGGTGAGGGTGCCCCCCAAGAAAGAAAGTGCATTATAATTTTAATGGAAAATGGTCAATGAACATTCCTTTGGAATAAAAATGTGAGGGGCTGGCAACAGAGGTGGCAGGAGGACACAGAGGGGAGGGGTCATCCAGTGAGTGATGGAGAGGGCTCTTTACTCCAATGCCTGGTCCCCTTGGCCAGGTCACAGGGCAGCCCAGAGGCCTGGGGCGGGAGTGCATCGACCCTGCCTGGTGGCCCCTTGCTCACCTCGGGAACCTGGACAATGTAGGGCTCCTGGATGAACCTGGGTGCCTCGTCATTGGCATCAGTCACCAGGATAGTGACTTTTTCCGCCACCTGAGAAGGGGCAAAGGGGACAGGTGTTGGAGCATTGAGACCTTCCAGGTGATAAAGGGACAATGGCCTCTAACACCCTAGGTGTATGTCTCTGCCCCCTCCTTCCCCCTCCCTTCCCCTCCCTCCCTCCTTCCTTCCCTCTTTTATTCATTCATGCAGCCCATACTGTTAAGGAACTACTCGGTGCCAAGCACTGTGCTCCATGCTGGAGACAGAAGACACAGTCTGACAGTGTGAATTTTGCAGGGTGGAGTGGTGGGCAAATAGCAACATATGAAAGGACAGTCGTGATGTCATTCAGGGCGGCAACCACAACAGGCTGGGCGCTGGAGGCTGGGGCCTGCACCACATGACTCTGAGGGTACCGTGTGCCCCAGCCTAGGCAAAGGCACCAGTTTAGGGGGCTACATCCAGAGGCCCAGAGAAGAGGCATCTGACCCAGCCTGCGGTGGATGACAGCAGGGAGGCCTCACAGAGGTGTGAGAAGTAAGGTCTGCAGCACTTTGTCAGGTGAGCGGGAAAGAGGAGGAAGGTGTGTCAGGAAGAAGCAGCAACACGGGCAAAGGCATAGTGAAGCACATACACGGGTTCAGAGCACAGAAGCAGATTTAGGGCTACACGGCTGGTGGGGTGAATGTGGTAGAGAAGGCGGGTGAGTCTGACGGTGCTCTGAATGGCAGTGTGAAGCTTGGATTCCACCCTGAGGGCAGTGGGGGCCAGCTGCTAGCGCTTTCTGAGCTGGGATCTGTGGCCAGGTCTTGTGCTGCACAGTGATGGCTCCAGATGTGGATTGAGGTCGGGGAGCCTTGGAGGGAAGGGAGCCCCCAGGATTATCCGGGAAGCAGTGATGAGGGCTGGGTGAAAGTGGCAGCTATGGGGAAGGAGGGGAGGAAGGAGGGGTCGGGTGCCCAGGTGTTCAGCTTGGGTGATGGTGCAGAGCCAAGAGCCAGGCGGGAGGAGATGGATGGGCAAGCAGGTTTGAGGAGACACTGCTTGAGGAATGTGGGTGTGCTCTCTCTCCCTTCCTTCCCCTCTCTCCTATGAGCATGTTGGGGCAGATCTTGCTGGACCTCAGCTTGGGTTTGCTGGGAGCCCTGCCCCGCGTGCGGCCAGGGGCTGGCTGGAGTGCGTACTCACCAGATTCAGGCCGTCGGAAATGCTGACAATAGCTTTAACCTCGTCCTCCCTCTGTGAAGCACAAGGACGAAGTGTCCAGGAGTCTGAGGCACCATAGGGACCCCTGGAGGCTGGGTGCATCAGAGGAGGCCTGGGCATTTCAAGGGAGCCCTGGAGCAGGGCGGAGTGGCTGAAAGTTGCCTCTGACCATGCTTGAGACCTTATTTTGGGGCTTGGCCCATCAGGGGTTCTCATAAACCCAGAGGGTGGAGGTGCCAACAGAAAATGCACCCCTGTCAGAATGAGAGATGCTAACAAGTGTGCTGGAGGACCCAGGAAGAGGTTATTAATCCATTTAAAAATTTTCCTCTTTTTGCCCCTTATCTCTCCCTTGACTCTCCATATTCTACAGTTCCTCAGAGGTCCAGGTCTGTGGTGTCTCAAGCTCTCCCCTTGACATGGTGGGTGTCGAGGTCCCCACGTCCCGTAGGGTGACAGGGAGGGGAGAACAGTTTCACCTCCTCTGCTGTGTCCCCCAGCTGTCTCTGGGACCCACCCTTTCCTTTCTCTGCACTGGTGGAGTCTGCCATTGGATCAGAGCTGGCAGCATCCCGCGGCTGAGGTGCAGGTACTTGGTCCACCAACCTGGTGTGGGATCTCACAAGGGAAACATAGCCCATGCCCTGTCACCCGCAGGTTCAGAGGGCACAGAGGGGAGGAGTTTTACCAAACTCAGAGCCGCTTTCTAAACCAGTCTTTCCAGCCCTGATCTGCTGGCTGAGTTTTCTGTGATTTATGGGCGCTCTCCAAGGATGCTCTCTAGGGCACCTTCCCGCCCACAGAGGTCTGTCTACATGCCTGGCAGGCAATGTTCCTCGCAGGTCCCCATACCTCTCTGTCCAGCTCTTCAATCAGGGTTATGTTTCCAAAATTGGGGTCAACCGAAAAGACACTTCTAGCGCTGGGGTCAAAGCTGATGTGGTAGGAGACGGGGTCTCCCTCGGGGTCTGTTCCATTCAGGGTGTACACATGAGAGCCTGGAAAGAGACAGTTGAGCGCTCACTGCTGGCCCCGTCCCGGCTGGCTGCTTCCTACTCTTTTTCTTTATTCTTCACGACTATCAGATGGCTGTTAGTACCTGCCACTTTACAGATTGTAATCTAGAATACAGATTACAGAGGGCTTCAGGGCTGCTGGGTCTAACTCTAGGGTCTCTGCCTGGAAATGACTCCTGTCCCAGGAACCAAGACTGGGGATGCGGGATGAGGGAAAAGGGAGGAGCCTTAAGGTGGAGGGGTGACCCATGTGCAGCACTGTTCCCCATGCTTGGATTATTCAGGGAATTCTGAGCAGGTGCTTCCTTTACACTGCAGTGGTCCTTTTGCTCAGGGTTCCCAGACCAGGTGATGGAGAGGAAGTGTGAACCTCCCTCCTTCTCCGGCTCCTCTCCCTGCAGATGCCACTGAGTTCATTGTTCTGGGGCCATTTTAAAGCCTAGAGCCCTGGGGCTCTGGCACGTTAGTACTTTGCTCAAGGTCACGCAGTGGGTAAAGGCCCCAGCGCTGAGGACTGCCACCTGCCCCTGGGGCCGGCCCTGTCTCTGGGCTCGGCACCTGGGTCTCCAGGACTGGCCCAGCTTAGGTGTCCACGGCTGCCGTGCCCTCCTTTCCTGCAACTGCCCCCGGGGAATTCAGAGAGCTAACAGGATGTCCCGGGAGTCACGGGTTCGGTCTCTATGTCCAGGGGAACGTGGGCCGCCCCTCCGGGAGACCTAAGTGGGGCAGACGCCAGGCGTACTCACCCACAGGAGTGTCCTCCGGGAGGCTGAAGAGGGCCATGTTTCCGTTGGTGCTGCCCACCCCGTTGTCGAAAAAGTAGGGGGCGAAGTTGGCCTGGGCTAGGAAGAGAACACAGAACAGAGGACACCCGAACACGCGCAGGGACAGCTCGGCACCGGCGTGGTCGCGCGTCTGGCCCACCCGCGGTCAGGCGAGGGCTCCCGTCCCAGAGCCCAGCGCGCCCACCGGGGCCCTCGGCCACCTCCTCCCGTGGGCTCCGGCTGGGCTCGGCTTGTCAGGGACACGCACCATCTGGGCGTTTGGAACTCAGGCAGCGGCCAGTCTCAGCCCCATCAATGGGCAGACTAGGAAACCTCGCCCAGAGAGGGGCAGTGCCCTGGTCAAGGTCACACGGGGAGTGGAAACACCCTCCCACAGCCCTCGGGGCAGCTGCCAAACCTCCGACTGTGCTTCTGAAGAAGCGGAGAGCAGCGAGAATCCCCCTTCCCCAGTCCGTGTCCCCGTCCCCCATCCCGAGCCCCACTCTGGAAGTGAACGGTCCAGAACTGTCCCTGGGTCCACCCGGCTGGCGCCAGCACCCACCCCTCGTCCCTACCGGGGCCCGCGGGGCCTGCGGCCACTCACCCAGGCGGAGGAACAGCAGCCCCAGGGCCAGGACGGCCCGCAGGCCGCGCCCCATGTCTCCGCGGGCGGGTCTTGTTGCTCCCCGCAGCCGAGGCCGGGCGTCGGAGCACGGAGCATGCCCTGGGCCCGCGACGAGTGCAGAGCCGGGGTGGGGGTGGGGTGGGGGCGGCGGCGGGAGGCGGGCGTGGGCGGGAGGGCCGAAAGGTGCGGAGGGCGCTAAGCGGATGACACGGCTCGGATCGGCGCCGCTGGAGCTCTCCCGCCCGCAGCGGAACGAGACCAATTAGTGGGTGCAGAGCTGAGGGGACCCGCTCCCAGCAGCGGGCGGGGGTGGAGGGCGGGAGGGCATTCCTCTGTGCTACCGCGACCTCTGTCCCCAGGTCTGGAGCGCAGGAGCCAAGGGGACCCCAGGGCCGCAGGGCGCTGGAAAACTGGGACTTTTTCCGGGTCTGCAAATCCTGGTAGGGCTGGGCTCCATTGGAGTTCTCCCTTCTTATGAACTTCCTCTGTGACTGTCAGGGAGTTTGCCACTCTCTTTGAGGCTGACTGTAAAACAGCGGCAGGGCAAGGGCTCAACCTCAGCGCGGAAGGATCCCTCCCACTAGTCTCTAGGAGAAATGAGGGCGGGGCAGAAAGGGGGTGGGTGGGCTCTGGGAAGGGCACGGCCTGAAAAATCCAAATCGACTCCAGGGATGTGTCCCTGAAGGCTTTGGGGGTGAGATTTGCGGTTGGGAAAGGGGCAGATGGTGAGGGTTTATCAGGACCACCTCTCTGAGATCTCAACCCATTCCTGTTCTGCACCCCCCAGGCCAGGCTAGCTCTCCCAGAGGGTCTGATTACTAGTCTGGTCACTAGTGGGGGTCCACGTGTGTGGTGGACGGCAGAGAGGGCCTTCAAGTCTCTAGTAAGGTGGAAGGCAGAGATTGCCAGGCAGCAGGCTAGCCTCCCTCCCCATCTGCAGTGCCCAGTTGTGACCATGGAGAAGCAGCAGACCCACGCACGCCTTGCAAGGAAGGGCGAACTGTTTGAAAGCAGATTCAAGCCCCGTGATGGGACAGACTTGCTAACAGAGCTGGCCAACACAGGTATGGACTGTCCCAGGAGGGGTGAGCTTCCCGTCCCTGGAAGACGTTTAGGCAAGCGAGGCGCTGCTATGGGGGCCCCGGGTGCTGACAGCTGGGAGGAACACTTAAGCTCAGGAGCCTTCCTGGTTGCTGATAAGTTTCCCTGGGCTGGACCTTCACTTTCTTGCTCAGACACCAGCATCTGGTTGAAGAAGCAGCCTGTTCTCCTTATATTCACAGGGTGTACAGGGCGGACACTTCAGGCCCGAGCTTGGTCACTCTCAAGGATATCCTTGGGAGGGTGTGGCCACAGACAGAGAAGACCCCTTTATGTGCTCCCCAGAGAGGCTGGGGTCCCAACATTTCCTCCCCAAGGGCATTCACAGGAGTAGAGCATCCCCCATCCCCCAGGCCAGTCCCCCTCCATCTACTGTTAGCAAGAGTTCGGGATTCAGGCCAAGGAGAAGATGAATGAGCAGTCCCAGAGTGTTTGGCAATATTCAGGCCCAATTAACCAAAACCCTTCATGTTGAATCCCCTCGGGCTTGGCCCTATCACTGAAAAGGTGCACTTTATTTATTTTTTGAAAAGGTATAACAGTTATTTTTATTTTATTTTATTTATTGAAGTATAGTTGATGTACAATATTACATAAGTTACAGGTGTACAATATAGTTATTCAAAATGTTTAGAGGTTATACTCCATTTATAGTTATTATAAAATATTAGCTACTTTCCCTGTCTTGTACAATATATCCTTGTAGCTTATTTTATACTTAATAGTTCGTACCTCTTAATTCCTTACCCCTATATTGCCCCTCTCCCCTCCCCTCTCCCCACTGGTAACCACTAGTTTGTTCTCCGTATCTGTGAGTCTGCTGGAAAGATGCATTTTCACTTGCACAGACATTCCTGCATCTTTCGTGTTACAAAATGCTGGGACAAAGCTAGGGCAAGCATTCCCTGTGTTCTACACAGAGTTGAGGAGACTGTGGCTCTCTGTAGATCACCCGGTGAGCTGGAGGCACAGACAGGGTTTCCTGGGGCAAGTGTCAATGTGCTGAGAAAAGCCAGCTCTCCCTGTGTCCCATCTGCCCACCTCCTCACCAGTGGTTGTGGTGCTTTTGACTTCTTTCTCCTCAGTTCACTCAGTCAACAGACTTGTACTGGAGAGGGATAGAGAAGGAGTACCCCACATACCGTGTGTGTGTGTGTGTGTGTGTGTGTGTGTGTGTGTGTGTGTGTGTGTGTGGTGTGATTGTCCCTGCTTTCGAAAGGAAGAAGTTAAAGCACAGAAAGGGTAAGTCACTTGCCCAGGCTCACACAGCCAGTGAGGGAAGGAGTCTGGATTCACACCCAGTTTGGCCTGGCTGTAAAAGTAGTTGAAACTCTTTCCATGGTAGAGGAAGATGACCGTGGAGCTCCTGAAGCTTCAGCTCCTGAGCCCCTTTCTCACACGTCCTTCCAGAGCCCTAATTTTGTATTTGTAGTTTATATTCTTCTGTCCCCCTTCAGTTGTACAGGTTCAGATCTGCTATAGTGACTAGTGGCCTGGTTTGCCTGGGACTGAGGGGATTTCCGGGGTACAGGACTTTCAATGCTAAAACCATTAAAGTTTGACTTAAACGGGAATGAGTTAGTCACTCTAGACCGGCCCCTGTCCTCAAACAAAGCATCTGAGAACCTAGGAAAACAGCAGCTCTTTATGGAGGTTCTCACCATGGACCCTGATCTTGACCTTGTGGTGCTGAGGGTCTGGAAACTGCCTGGAGGGCTCAGTTTCTCATAGCTGGGAAGGAAAGTCCCGCCTGCCATGAGACATGGGGCTTGGCCCTCACTCAAAGACCCCGGGCAGTCTCGGGCACACCCGTCACCTTATCCTCCACGGGCCCATCACCCCTGCATGATGACAAGCTCCCTCTCCCCTGGGCCTCCTCACCATGGCACCTGCTGTGAAATACCAACTCAGGTCATCTCTAGGTCAGGTTCTGAGGGCTCTTCCTCAGGTAGATGTAAAACAGCTGGTCCCGCTGTTAGTAAGTGGGAATTCGAGTGCCAGCTGCCAGACTGGACATGCACGTGTGTTCTAGCCCCATGTGCCAGCATGTCACCCCAGGCTCTTGTGACCTCTTTGATCATATCTGATCTGAGCGTGCTAACCCGCGGTGCCTTTGCCCACATACATGCACGCACATTCACACAGCTGCCCGAAAACACACGAGTTCTAGTCCTGCTTGCAGACCCATTTGTGCACACATGCGTGCACAGCCAGCGGATCGCTCACATCTCCTCATTTAAACACGCATGCCCAGGTCACGTGTGTGCACCTGCACTAGGGGAGGTTGGGCAAGGAGCGCTCTCAGCTCTTTCTGTTGCTGAGCAGCAGAGGCCTGCTTTCGGGCTCATGTTCCTAATGACTCTGATCTAGGAGGGGGAAAAGGTTGGTCTCCAGCACGCTGCTACTGCCCCAGCTGTCTGGGATGAGACCGTCTGGCAGACTAATGTCTGCCCTGGAACTTGGCATCCTGAGCTGATCTGTTCAGTTGCCAAGTTCCAACAAAATGACGGCTCATGACAGGGAAGCCATGGTCCAGGATGGGATTTGGTACTGAGCGTGAAGGCATAGGGTCAGAGGATGTACCTTCTCTGGACACGACTGTGAGGTCCCACCTATCCCAGCCCAGGTGAGGTCCTGAGGACTGTCCTCTACAGGCCTGGGTCAGGTATACCCAACTGGCTGGAATTTGGGTGTCCCTCCCTACAGCAGTGGGCTCTGTGGGGCTGAGGAGTCCTGGACATTATCTACTCTGAAATGTGGCCACTCTCTGACCCCTTGCTGTGTCCAGGCCAGGTATAAGGTGGCTGCCTCAGTGTCCTTTGACATGGGGATGGCATTCTTCCTCTTATCTAAGACCCAACTTGTTCCCCTAACTGAGAGACTCTGCAGGAATCTGGGGCTGCCACCTATTCCCCCAGTCTCCATCTAGCTGGAACTAGTACCCACTTGCTGGGATTCCTGTGTCTTAATGCTGGCTCTTGGTCACTGTGGCATTCACACAGGTGGGCAGAAACTCCAGTCCTGGCGTTGCCTATTTTCACCCTATAGCAGTCTCCTTTGCTATCTCAGCCTGCCAGATGGCTGAGCCTGGGTAGGGGATATTCCCAAGAATGTCTTCTCCTCCAGAGAGTAGTATACTTCTCTCCCCAGACAGAACTGGTCCTTACTTGGGACCTTGACAGGGCCCTTAAAAGAATTTAGTGCTGTAATCTGTCTGCTTTGGTGTCTCCTCCAGAGTGCCGTGAATCATTTAGGGGAGAGACCATGTTTCATGCATAGGTTACTTCAGTATCCACATAGGTCCTGTCCCACAATAGATCCTTGATGAGCAGCTGTTGACTCGCTGAATGATGACTGAATAAATGAATGAATGAAGAGACACCTGACAGTGTCATAAGTCTTGGTTCCTGGTCCTAGTCAACAACTGACCCTCTTCAGGTCTTTGACATTCTCCCTCCCCCTCCACGCATCCATAAATGGGTAGGCTGAAGTAGCCAAAGGGTATACACTGAAATGCCTGCTGAGCCAGGCAGGATGTGGAAAAGTGTGAAATGGCTGAGGGAAAGGCAATAGGGAGTGGTGGGAACTACTGCACACGTGTAAGCGTCCATATCTATAGCGTATTTAAACATTGAGTTGAACAAGTGAAATGGTGGCATTTTGATGTGGAAAAGGTCTGACATCTTGTAATTTGATAAATTCCACCCTCTGGTTCATACTTTGCAAATCCTGAGGGTCAGGGCAGTTTGAAAGATTAAACAGCAGATGAACCAAAGACCTCTTCCAGTGATGGAGCTGTTGATAACAAGCCTGCCACCTGCCTCTGGACCTGGCCACATGTTACCAGACTGCTTGTAAACAGGCAAGGTCCAACCACCACTTGGGAAACCAGACTAGATACCTAGACACACCCATATCCTAAAGGTTTTATGATGCTTCCACCGCAGGGCAAGTGGCTCTGGAGTCAGTTGGAGGGAGTCACATGTGGGGTCCTGCGTGAACATTAACCAGCTGGGACTCTAGAAAGTGGTTTACCCTGGATAGTTGGCCCAGAGATAAGCTCAGAGATGAGTCAGCAGAGTGGGTGGGCACACAGGGCTGTAAAATGCATGTGGTTTCCAACAGGAGGTTCTGTGATAGCTGGGGATGGAACTGGTCCCGGAGGACCTAGTCTTTTTTTTTTTTAATTTTACTTTAATACATACATAATTTTATCGCAAAGATGTGATCAATAAAATGTTTTTCAAACACAAAAATTATTACATTTGGATAACATTTTATGGGGAACTGGAACATAAATATAAGTTGTAAAAGAACAGTGTAGAATTACCGAATGTTAAAGAGCTCATTCATATAATTTTTTTTGAATTTTATTTTATTTATTTTTTACACAGCATCCCTGTATAAAATTCTCCACCATCCCTGCCCACTACTTTCCCCCCTTGGTGTCCATACGT